GGGGGTTTCTGTCTGGAGTTCTAAAACGGGGGGGGGGGTTCGAATGAGGCGTTCATTGCTCTATTTCCAAATGAAGTTTTTGGGGTGTCACCGTTATTTCGTCCGAAACGGGAAATGATCTCTTTTATCTTCTCCAAGAGGTTCGGAGGAAGATGCCGATTTGCTGCTTTTTAGGGCTTCCAGGGTTATAAAATCTGACTAATAGACCTAACGGGAATAATTCGGACACTCTTTTGCAAGATGACTCAGCGGATCCATCGTCTTACATTATTTTTTCTTCCGAATCTCCACATATGAGCGATTTTTGTTGCTTACGTGAGTTTTGCTTTATAACCGGGACCTTGGAAGTCGCCGAAATTCCGTTTTCCCTTTATGGGCCAGATGCTCCGAAATTCTGTACCGTTGTGATAGTTCTGAGGATTGTGTTGATGTATTCGTATATCGTATTCGGTCTCGGATGATCTACTGATACAGAGTTATCTCTATAAGAATTCATACCAATAATGCCAACCCAATACCAATGTGTTATTTACTCCGTACCTACCGATTATATTATTAATCCTTAAACTCTTGGCAAAACTCCTTTTTTTTTTTTTTTTTCTAGGTGGGCCGATATGAGTCCGGGGTATACACAGATCCCTTCGGACGCCGGGACCCCGTTTCCTCCGACCGGATGCAGGCTTACCCTAACACCGATGTGCTATCTCCGCTTTATGCGTGATAACTTGTAGTTCCGTGTAAAGCTCTGATTGGAGAATACAAATTCAGTACCATGGACCTTACGGCCTTGTGGGATATCTTTAACCTTATAGTTTGTTATATTTGTAGCTTTGGACGTGGCCCAGCCCGTTTATGTAGGAAGTCACGGGTTATGCTTTACCCTGACCAAGGCTAATTCAAAGCTATCTTTTAGCCTAATCGCCTGAAAATCGAGGGCAACTCTTTATGCTAAAAGAATTGGTGTTGTCGGTGATTGATCCCGCAGATTGCGGGGTTGCAACGTCATGTCGACCCTCGAAATGAAATATACTATTCTTCCCCCACCATTCTCTCCAGGGAAAAAAATTGAAACAAATTGAAAAGCATTTCTCATCATGTCCGACCCCGAACAAGCTACATTCACCTTCCTGCCCTTGGGCGCAATCATCCAAGAATTCCGCGTCGGCGACAAGAACATCGTTTTGGGTTTCCCCACGCAAGATGATTATGTCAAGCACAACTCCCCGCACTATGGTGCCACCATCGGCCGTGTTGCAAACCGTATCAAAGATGGTCTGATTCAAGACCTGAATGGCCAGAAGATCCAACTGACGCAGAACGATGGCACCAATTCCTTGCATGGTGGTGAGCAGGGTTGGGGTAAGCGCGTCTTTGACGGTCCATATACCGTCCAGCGCAATGGCCACGACACTTTGCTGTTCAAGTACCTTTGCAGAGATGGTGAGGAGGGGTACCCCGGTACTATCGAGGTGCGTGTGTGGTACACCGCGAGCAAGGAGGGTGATGCCAAGACTGTCCTGACGGCCGAGTACGAGGTGGAATTCGTTGGCAATGAGTGCGAGGAGACTGTAGTCAACCTCACCAACCACAGGTAAAGGCCCAGACCCTTTCCCCTTCGAATTTGATGACAACCTCCATCTCGAAAATTGGAGCTATCCCCCGCTAACCAAGCTCCCCCGCAGCTACTTCAACATCGGCGATGGACCCGATATCTCGGGAACTACCGCCCAACTTGCTACAAGTGATTATCTACCCCTCGATAGTACGGGTATCCCTTCAGGTGGGGTTGCCAAGTTCCCCCGCGACGTGACCACCCCGTTCACGCTCGCCGCAACGGGCGCACATATCGATGATGTCTTTGTGCTGGAGTCTGACCCCAGCAAGATCCCACTAGACACTCGTGGCTTGCCGCTGCGCCGCCTGGGACAGTTCAGCAACGTAAGAACGGGTGTGCATCTCGAGGTGCACAGCACCGAACCTGCATTCCAGTTCTACACTGGCAAGTACGTTGATGTGCCGTCGATCAATGGTGCGCCGGCACACCATGAGGGGGCTGGATTCTGTGTGGAACCTAGCCGATTTGTGAATGCGATCAATGAGCCTGAGTGGCGGTCCATGGTTCTGCTGAAGAAGGGTCAATTATTCGGTTGCAAGACTGTGTACAAGGCATGGAAGGCTTGAAACAAAATGGGTATAGCAAAAGAAGCATGGCAGTAGTACCATGAGACATCTTTCTTCAAGTCTGAGAAGTGGAGACTTGGGCCAGACATATTTGAGTATCATAAAAAAGGAACCTCTTGCATCCCCATTGTAATACAAAATCAAGAAAAATACCAACAAATGAGATGCCGAAGCCGACTAAGTTAACTCCGTCCCGGACCCTCGGCAGCCCGTTTCTACTCCCGGGATTTGCACCAATTTTTTTTTATCAGATGTCTTTTAATTACATGTGAAAATACATCTGACCCTAAAACCAAATGTCTCCAAATACTTGTTAATGTTTTTAGTATGTGCAGTATACAGATGAGTTTCCCAAATCCAAGCAGTTCCCAATTCACCTGACCCTCTTCTCTTCGAGAAGAATCTCTTCTCCACTGGGAATGTCAAGCCCGTGACGATCTATCCTTTTTGGTGTGCCGTATTCCCGGATTGTGGAGCGATATGAGATTACAATTTTTAACTTGTTGGAGTTACAGTTATACGTGATTGATAGTGAACGACGTTGCATATTTGTATTTTGAACAACGGGGCGTGCCCAGGAATTTGCCTGTGAGCCTGGGCTTCTTTTTCTCTTTCTGTACAATAGCCACCCCTAATTGGGAGCATATGTAAGGGCAAGGTGATGTAATAAAATTATACAACTATACACGACTATACAAGACTATACAACGAAGAAGTTGCCCAAATCCATGTGTCAAGAAGTATGATCCCACGTGACCTCGGTCATAATCGGAGACCAAGTCAACCCGGGTCTCTTTCACCCCGCGCGGGGAACTTCGTGCGAACTCGCAGATCAACATAATATACCGAAGGCTGAACGGCTCCAATCAAACACTTGATTTCATTCGTTCATTCCAATCCACTCTACTTACAATGGCCTCGGCTCACGGAGATCTGTGCCATCTACTACCCGGCAACTACAAGCGCCTCATAACATCCTGGCTGGAAGAGGACTGCCCTAGCCTGGACTATGGCGGCTTTGTCGTTGGCGAGGCAGAGGGCGAGGCCCACTTATTAGGAAAGAGCAAGGTAAAGCACAACTGACCTGAAAACAAGGCATTTATACCTCTTCATAAGAAGAATCTCAACTGATCCGCCCTCCCAGGGCATCGTCGCAGGCGTACCATTCTTCGACGAGGTCTTCTCGCAACTAGGCTGCTCGTAAGTTTCCTAGTCCTCTACTCCTCGATCTATGCCCCACCCATAATCCCACCCCCAACTCTCTAACCCATCCAGAATCGAATGGCACATCAAAGAAGGCGAAGTAATCATCCCAATCCAGCACTGCGCAACCGTCCGCGGCCCCATCCGCAAGATTCTTCTCGGCGAGCGCGTAGCCCTAAACATCTTGGCGCGTTGCTCAGGCATTGCCAGCAAGAGCGCCTCCATGCTCGCTGCGCTGCGTGCGCAGGGATGGCAAGGTACCCTGGCTGGCACACGGAAGACAACGCCTGGGTTCCGGCTGGTTGAGAAATATGGAATGCTTGCTGGCGGTGCCGACCCCCATCGCCATGATCTGAGTTCCATGACCATGCTGAAGGATAACCACGTGTGGGCATGTGCGAACAACCGGGCTGCGGCGGACGGCGGTGCTGTGGACCCATCATCGATTGAGTCTATTGCGGCGGCTATCCCGCGCGCCGTGCAGGCGGCCAAGGCTACTGGTGGGTTCTCAACAAAGGTTGAAGTTGAGTGTCGGAGTGTGGAGGAGGCAAATGCGGCGATTGAGGCTGGGGCTGACATTGTTATGCTGGATAACTTTACTCCCGAGGGGGTGCGGGGGGGCTGCGGCACAGCTGAAGCGTGAGTGGGCCTTGAAGAAGACTTTCTTGATTGAGGTGAGTGGTGGGTTGACGGAAGAGAATGCGCCGGCGTATGTCTGTGCCGATGTCGATATCTTGTCTACTAGCTCGATTCACCAGGGCACGGGGATCGTGGACTTCTCGCTCAAGGTATCGTTGCGGTAGATTGGAATGTATTATACAAAGTTTGGATTCGTCCTGATAAAGCACATGGACTTGTATAAAGAACGACGCGACAAAACTAAAAGAATTGCACACAACCCCCCGACAATCACCTCGACAAGATGTTGCAACACCCGAATAAAATAAAACGCCTTTCCTCGTCTCATAATCCTCGTAAAATGATCATTACAAGCAGATGCAAAAAAGTGTAATGTGGAAGCGAAACGCAAATAGACGGTGAATATTATATAGTACATAAGAAAACCGACAAAATCAAACTTCGATGTCGACGGTGATGCCCTCCTCTTCACTGGAACTGGGAGCCTCATCTGAGACAGGGGGGTGACTACGACTGCCGCCATTTGCGATGGTCTCTGAAGGCCCGCGCCGCGTACGTTCCCGGTGAAGCTGCTCTCGAAGTCTCTGATTCTCAGCATCGCGCTCCTCAAGTCGCTTGCGAGCGCCACTGCGGTCTAGGAGGCGACCTTCACGTTCAGATTTGAGTCGCTTCTCCAGCTCATGCAGCCTGTGAATCCATTTCTCATCGCCACCATCCCAGCCACTGTGCGAGCTGCGCGTGCGTGGTATCATCGTTCCAGCATTGTTATTGGTTAATGTGCTGCTAGAAGAGGAGTGAGAGGGCTGCGGAAGTCCGCTAACACTGCGAGCGAGGCATTTTTCGGGGCGAGATCTTTCAGCGATAGCCGTAGAGCTAGAACACGCTATGGATCGTTCCGACTCTGCCATCGACGCCAAAGAAGGGGATCGGGGTCTTGATGCCATGACTGCAACCGCAGCCGCAGATGCAGGACCCTGTCCTCGCGAGTTGGATTGAAGCAGATTGAGTTCAGCCTTCAGTAGACGGTTCTCGCCACGCAGTTTAGATATCTCCGGCGTTGAGCTCGACTGTCCACGACCGGATCGCATGTTTTTCAAAGCTTCTTCGAGACGCTCGAGCTTCTTGATCCGTCCGTTATATGACAGCTCAAGCGTGTGATAACGCTTGGTCAACTCGTGGTCGATGCTCTTGATGCGAGTCTTGAAATTTGCCATCACGCCCTCGACAGTCTTCATTGCAAGCAGAAGATTGCGACTGAAGCCCGGCCAAAACAACATATTGCCTATGACCTCCTGGCTCGGAAGATTGCCATTGATGAGACTGTTGGAGTGCGCCCAGTCGGGCCCGCAAAGCCCAGATATTCTCTTCCAAAGGTTAAGGAACATGACATTCCTCTCGCTTAGCTGGTCCTTGAATTGTTGTTCCAGCGATGCGTATCTTTTACGGTCCTCCGTTCGCGCTTTTTCCAGATCTGTGATGCGGGAATTACTTTGCGTGATGGTCCGGGAAGCCTGCTGATGAGATTTTAGCGACGACTCAAATGACTGCTTGTCGGCTCGGCGCGCGTGTCGTTCGCGATCCAAGAGTTCCGAGAGTTTGCGTGACTCAAGTCCATGACTCTCGAGCAGAGCGTCACGATTTCGAAGTAGGGTTTCTTTCTCATCTAACTGCGAGCGGATACTCTCCAAGTCAAGGGCGGTCGACTCCAGTTCTTTTTGCAGCTTCATGATATTGGTTATCAAGCTAGACCGACTGCCGCTCAGATCACCCAGAGTTTCTCTCAAATTGTTTTCAAGGTCCATCAGCCGTTCTCTCCAGGTGGAGGTTTCAATCTCCTGGGCTGAAAGGCTCTTCTTCAGACGTCGGACCTCCTCCTTGGAAGCCGAAGCTTCGCGGTTCAATTCATTCATGATACGCTGGACATCTTGCTTCTCCTTGCTTCCGACCACCTCTCGTTGGTGACGTTCATCTGCCAGTCGCTGCTCGAGTTCTCTAGTCTTCTCTTTTTCGCTGATCAAACTCATGTGGTAGTTCTTAAGATCTGATTCGATGTCTCCAATGCGGATCTTATCACAGTCCTGTTCTTCGCGAAGAAAAGCAATTTCATTCTGGCTCGACTCAATCTGCACCGTCAGCCGCTGCACCTTGGTGTTGGCCTCAAATAGGCTCTTCTCCATAGACTCCATCTCGCGATTGGTCTCCTCAAGCTCTTGTTGTACAGATTTATATGCGGCCAGGTTGTTCTGTGCGTCTTCCTCAAGACGGATGATGCCTTCGCTGGCAGACCGCATCTCGGCTTGCAAGACTCTGAGGTTTTCATCCTGGTTTCTTAGATCCTCGTTCATGCGCTGGCACTCCACAATCTTCTGGTCAAGTTCGTCTCCAAGTGTATCCAGCTCTTCCTGCGCCTCGGCCCGCAGGTCCTGGAAAGCGGCATCTCGTTCATTCGCCATATGCACGGCCTGATCTCGTTCTTGCTGTAGATTTTGCATCTCTTCTTCAGCTTGGTCAACATCAGCCTGGTATGCTTTGTCAAGAGCCTCTAGTTCTCCAATATAGTCCTCAAGTTCGGCTCGAATGGCTTGATTATCAAGTTTGAGGGTCGACACTAGGTCCCGGAGTTGTCCATTCCGGGCTTCGAGTTCATCGCGGTCTATGTCGCTGCGTGACATACCCGTTCCATCGCTAGCCTGGGACGATGGTCGGATGTGAGTGCGCGAGGCGGAACGGTCAAAAATACTGTCTCCAGCAATGGATCGGCCAACGTGACGACGCTCGCCGAGCTTCAGTTCTTCGATCTCCTGATAAAGACGTTCCTTTTCTCGATTGCGTGATGTGAGCATTGAAGTCTGAGCACTAACTTCCTTTCTTAGTTCTGCGTTCTCCTGTTTAAGGAGCCCCAGCTCTACAACAAGCGTGCTGTTAGGAACGGTTGGAACTCGGTTGCCGTCTCTATCAGACGTGTACGAAAGAGAGTCGTATTGGCCGGGCTTTGTGACAGAATACATCTCACTCCGCAAACGAATCGACTCATCCCGCAGTCTTCGATTTTCTTCCTCGGCTTGCTCTCGGGCTGAGGTTTCTGCGTCAAGCATGTCCTTCCACATCTCCTACATAGCTAGTTAGCTTGGATCTGATTGAGTGTCCATCTGACTCCGACTTACTCGCTCTTCTCTCGCACCTGCTTCGGACTCTCCCGCACGATTATCGCTGAGCGACTTGACCATCTCAGCCAGCCGACGCTTCTCACTTTCCCGTGCGATTGTTTCCGACCTCATACGTTCAATCTCGAGTTCATAAGTTTCAACCCGTTCACGTAAGAAAACGATCTCTTCATCTTGGGCCAAGTCACGATCACCCTCCTCTGATCCTTCGGGGTCATGATTGACCATAGAATCCTTGTCCGATTGATGGTCTTTCACTTGCTTTTCCAAGTCCCGAATCTTGCGTCTCAGGCTTTGATTGTCCTTTGAGAGCTTGACCTTATCTGATTTGAGCTCAACATTCTCCGAGATCATCTCCTTGATGCCTTCCTCGGATCGCTTGTTCAGCGCCTCATTAAGAAAGTGGATTCGCATTTTCAGGTCAAAGTTCTCCTTCGCCAGGCGATCAATGGTGCTGCTCTGTTCCTTGAGGGTCAGGTTTCGGCCACTTTTCGCAAACGCAGGGGTTGAAGCCCCCAACCGCTTCTCCGGGGACGCTTGGAAGTCTTCCCGGAGCCGTTGTGCAAATGTGGTAGGAATCTGAATGCCTTTGACCCGCTCGGCAATTGCTGTATCAGTAGGGACATTGCTATCTTGTGGCTTCGCCTTTGGCGTCACTGGTGCTGAGGTGTCTTCGTGGTCAACGTGACCGGCACGAGAAGGTGGTGAGCCTTCCTCCTCCAGCGTATGCAGCCCGCCATCTGTTGGACCAGGCGTATCTCTTTTGTCAAGTGGATTTTCTTCGCTATACACGGAGATCCCAGATGCCATGCTGCCGAGACTGGTTGTCCTGGCCATCTGCGCACGACTTCCAGGGTGCAAGCCTCCATAGTTGTCCGATGTCGCGCCTCCTGTTTGAAGGGCATAGTCTGCGCCTAGTGTGGCATCGCTGTTGGTTGTTTCAGTGTTGTTGCTTGCGAGCGAGGAGTGTGAGAGACGATGGCCTGATTGTCGACTGGTCAGGTACTTGGGTCGACTGGCTCTACGACTACCAGTAGCGCTGCCACTTTGGTCACTAAATAGGTGCGAAGCACCGGGCGAAAGGCTGCGGGAGGGGTTTCGAAGTTTTGAGGGAGTGAGTTGCCATTCGTTCTCGGCCATAGAAAATTCAGATCTGAAGGGCCGTTCATCCTGGAGGAGCGGGCTGGTTTCTCGCGCATTTTCGGACAATGCGGATTGATTTCGGTGAAGCACTGCAGCTGCCGTAGGTGACGAGAAGAGGGAGTCAAGCAAGGAATTGTCCGCATGTTGTTCTGCAGGGCCAGGTACCGAGTCCAAATTTGGATTTGGCGGCTCCTCCTCGCAGTGTTCCTCGTCGTCCATTGGGTTTGTCTCGGCTGGTTCTACGAATGAGAGCTGTGAGGAGTCCTGCGTTGTGTCTGCGGTGTCATTCTTGGGAACCCCAACTAGGTACGTATCATCCGCACCAGCAGCGGGACCGCTCGCAGCCACGTCAATGGTCGATGGTTCCGGCAGAAAGCTCGACTCAATTTCCATCAGTTTGCGGCGCATTTCGTGCTCTTCGATTAGGGTTTGGTTATTGCCGCGTTCGTGGTCGCCATTTTCGCTCGATGGGTGGAATAAACTGCTCTCATCGCGGTCGACTGAGGACGGAATAAAGCTGTGATCATCCAGATCTAGTTGGGTGGATGTCATGGTAAATTCATGGTCTCGGTCTTCATGACCCGGCTCTGAAGGAGTTGATTGCGTGTTTTCAGATTGGGACTGTGTTACCGAGTTCGGGAGGAGACCCCCCGATACGTCCTCTGCCATGAAATATTCTGAACTAAGATCATTCAAG